CATTTTGTCAGTAAATTGCCGAACTTAGATGGGCAGTGCTAACCCATTCTACTTATTCGCGAGGTCTCGCTCCGTCTGATTACCATTTGTTTCTTGCTCTGAAACATACCTCCACGATAGAAATTTTGATGACTGCCCGGAGCTCAAAGATGAGATCTCCAGCTTTTTCGAATCGTGGCCGCCACCCTTCTAGGCTTCAGGAGTCGAGAAACTGCCGGTTTGTTAGACGTATGTTTAGGACAACGATGGAGACTATATTACTAATTGAGATCCTCTTTCAATGGGAATAAGACTTTTTAAAGTGAAGATTGAAAAGCCGATCAAAACTTTTTACTCAACCTAATATATATATATATATTATATATATACGGTCAGTAGTGGTAAAATTTTTTCATCGAATTACTATTCCCCGGAATCCTAAAGCGTGCGGAAGCTCCCCAATAATGAGCCCCAAAACGTTTTGCAAGCGTTTAGGACACATTTTATGGAAAAGCAAAACGAGCGCATGCATCAAGGGATCGAACCTTGATGCCATGTCTATCAGTTCACTACACTACCCGCTCGGCCACCGTTGCACAGGGACGGTCCTTGCTCGGCTCGTGATCCGTTCGTTAATGTGGTATAACACAGAGAGGCATCGGACCCGTAACTTTGTTCCCAGAATCGTTAAGCAGATTTGGAACACTGATTTGAGATCAGCGTTCGAAACCACCTACGGGGGTATACATCTCATCTTGAATGGCCGCGACCAAGTATCCTTCCCTTGTAAGTTACGAATTTCTTTCCCAGAAGGGGGTGCTCAAAAAGGCGGAGCACATAGTAGTTGAAAGGGGAAACACTCAGGGAATACGACTGATGAACAGCGTGGAACCAAGAGGGATCAGTGAACTTCTGACGTGAGTCTAAAGCGAATTTTCGACACGCGTTTTCCCTCTTTAGGAACCTGATTTACGGTTTGATCGCCCTTCTCTTACCCCGTTGGCCAAATAACGGGTATCATAGGGATAAGCGATAGCTGTGCCCAACTAGTCTGCGTTTCGCAAGTTACAGTGGATGGATTCCTTCTTCCTCCATTAAAATAAGGGACGATGCTTGCGTCACTCCGAAGGCTAGTATCTCCTGCAGTGAAGCGATCCAACCGATTGTTGAACGTTGATCGGTGAGCAGTGCTAGCATCGAATAGATAGATGACTTCTGGGCCCCTACACCCTCGTTTTTCCCTTGGCGTGCTTAGTAGAAGGTGATGGTACGAATCGGGTATTGTCCATTCATTGACCGTAATGCTGTGAAAGCCCACACGCGTGCCCTTACTCATGTGTTGATTGCCCGGGGAATGTCCTACAAGTTTATCAACCTCGCTACCGTGTTCACACTGTTGATACGGATTTTCAACGTTTCAAGTTTTTGTCGCAGGACTTTCTTGCCAACCTAATATTTTGACAATTTTAAAGCCTAGCCTCCTACCAATTTCCGATCAAACAAACAAACAAACAAACACAAATAGACACACGTAGCGGATTATATAAGTAGGATAACGCGATTGAACACTATGTTCCTCGGTAGAGAGGAACCCTCTCTGGACACTTACAAAAAATGTGGGAACATAGATAGCATTTATTAAGTGATGTCGGGCGGGCGGACAGAGAGCTGGAAGAGGAGGAGGATGAAAAGGGGGAGGGGGTAAAGGGGNAGGGGGGAGAGCGCAAAGACTTCAGCGAAAATCTTGCATTGGTCTTAAGAGATCTCAAGAGGTATAACGACTACTTGGGGGAGGATTATTGAAGTTGAGAAGATGTAGTACTTCATAGAAATTCCAGCAAACGAATTCAGGGCCACAAGCGCATTGGCTGTACGAGGAAAGGGGAGATCAGTACATTTTACCCAGTTGATAAGGTCATTTTGGAAGCGGATCACCTTCAGGAGAATGATGGTGGTGCTTCGGATCCTCTAATCTTACGGCCGCGCATATGGAGAAGTCCCTATGGCTCACCGCCCCCCTGGTGTATGTCCTTACTGCGATGTAGCTTGGTTTTCACCCCTGATTGCCATTCTTCAGTGTACAAAAAATGCTGCGGTCATCTGCGACTCTCTTGCATGTTTCCTTCCATACTTTGATGAGGTGCCGTGCGATGAATGCATCCTTTCGTCACACTAACATCAGAAGAGAGAGCCGTCGTAAAACCCAGGTTTTACCGCCCTCCCGCCTCGTTTGCATAAGATCTCTTTCCTTGCAGAGTGTAGAACAAAGTCTTAGTCATTTATTGCACAATCGTATTGTTTCAAGACATCAACATGGGTTTGCACCCAGTCGTTCCGCCGGAACAAATCTGGTCGAGTGCCTTAACAGCTCGATCGAGACTCTTTACTGTGATATCATCTACTTCTCTTAAGGAAAAGTGACTGAAGATTCGGCATGTGAAGCTTCATTTCAAATAGAAGAAAATTGGGATTGCGCTAGGTCTTTGCGATACGGTTCGCCGAGTATCTGAAGGGCAGGACATTCCAAGTCAAAATCAGAGTCACTCGTCATCTGTGGTTGAACGGGTAGTAAGCAGTGACCTCAAATAGGTGTACTGCACCTTTCACATTTTTACGGCAGAACTTCCGGCATACTTCAAGGTTGAGGTCATAGCGAAGACCGGTGTGGTTGACATGGAAAACTACAGGAGCGCTCATTCATAGTCAAGGCTCAGGCCGCAGATTGACAGGGCTTCAGTCTTTTACAACGGTGGAAAGTTTTTCTGAATAGAAAAGCGGATGGAAACGGCTTACCTACGAATTTCCCAATCTTCAAAGGTTTCGCCCCTCTAGTAAAGAAGACTTATTGCAGGCATACAAAAATCAGAAGCAGAATTTATGATTTATATTTAGTTCAACAAATTAGTGCAAGGAAAGTTTTAAACCATAGAGCTGGAAGTTATAACTGAAAAATAGCAACTACCGTAGGCTCGATTAAAACGTTGGGTCGTCACCAGGTTGGTAACCAAGGGAGCTGCTTAATGGTCTCCAAATTGGTACTGATTATCAAATATAGATATGTGGGAGATGGACTGCTAGCTTTCTGTTATAGTTCTACTCGATTACTCGTAGAGATCTTGTACAGTGTTCCAAGTGTAACGTTTTGGTCGACTTTTACTATAAATAAACAACTTTTATTCATGTGATTGACCATAAAGGGGTGAAGCGACTAAGCTCACCAGAGTGAAAAGATTCCGGGCTATGGGTCGAATCATGCCGGGATAATAGGGTTCCAGCAGCAACTTAACACTGTTCCTCCAACGCTTGTAACGTGTATCAGTGTCCAAGTTGTTGAGATACTGAAAGTAAACAAAATGTGTTGATGGAAACTAATAGAGCGTGGTTTTTCTAGCGGAAAAAACGAACTCACAATAGGGTGGGCATTTCTATAATCCACAGCATATTTCTTTTTATCTTCAGAAAGGCTGATGTGAGGGAGAATTGAAAGGTACTCTCGCTGAAAAGTTGACCGCAGTCATCAAAAAGATCTTCCTCACAGGTTTATCATACGTCCATATTATGTGGCGACCAACAAAGTGGCGTTTGCCGTGACACAACGAAACCGCTGCGATGACCACTCTTTCCCTCTTTGTTATTGGCATCTTTCTTGAAAGTTGGATGCCAATAGAAATAAACCGAAAAGAAAGTCTAGTTGTGAATCTTCCCGAAGATCAAATGCGTCAATAAATGTGAGATAATCTAAAACAGCATTTTCATATATCCGCATTCGTTGGAAGAATATCCGCTCGAAAGTGTAAAGATTTCTGACGCAAACACAGTGGAGCTGTAATGACTGAATTTCCCCCTTAACCATGATTACTCCGGATTCTTGCACGCAGAGATGGTTGCACGTAAACATTTTTAACTCACGCAACTTTTCTGTCAGCTACTTGCTCACTACAATGATTTCGATTAGTCGCCATCATGACGAAAAATTTCACAAGAAAATCCAGCGGCTTCAGATACATGATAAGCGACTATGTGACATGAGGCATCTATGTACTAAATGAATGTGATGGAGTTGAATGCGAAAATCTGAGAAAGTTGTGTTGAATCCCTGTTTTTTTTTCTTGAGGTCCAAACATACAATCCTCAATAACGCCGTGAACACTTGTTGACACGAGCGACCGAGATGTACGCCTTCATTCTACACGGCTACATGGGAGAAGGGGAAGGGAGGAAAATGGTGAAAGTGGGCTCATTGGTTACAGCGCTAAGTAATATGTAAGTACTGAAGCGAAATAGCCCTTCTCAATGTGTGCAAAAAGGAATCAGAGGACTTCATAGAAACGTATGCACGCAGATTATTGAAGCACTAGTCGGCTCGCCCGGCAAACGCCGGGCTCTCCTCCTTTCCGTGTAAAGCTGGTTTGCCGCCAACATCCCCCCTCCAACTTTAGACGCCATCGCACAGGAGAACAGAGGTACATTTCTCTGCCAAACACGTCACACACACCTGCCGCGCTTCCCCGTCATGAGCGGAATCCTGTTCAAAACAGGTGTGACACACATACACGCACACACATACACATACACATACACATATAACAAACAAACCATTTAACAGATCTCAATTTCTAGCACTCTGGTGTCGCATCGTGGGCCGCTAAACAGATCACCCAACTCCTTCGAAACGAACTTCGGAACGAGTTCGTTTCGAACGAGTTGGGTGATCGAAGGAGTCTTTTACCTCAGCGACAGGACTTCTTTAAAGAGCCATTCATACCGAGTTGGCACGTTGCGTAATAACTTCCACGTGCGAAAACGAGAACTTCCGAAACGTCAGCCTAATGAAGCAAATACACAAAACTCGTGAAGAGTTCAAGAAAACAACTCAGTCATAGAGCACTTATACCAAGGTTCAGGGAAAGCCGAACGTGAAAGTCATTATGCAACGTTCCAACTCAGTATGAACGATTCGTCGAAGTCCTGTCGTTGAGGCAAAAGATTGTCTTAGCTCGTAAAGGCTCCGCATAAACATACGTCCTCCCATGGATGGCCTTAAAACTCGTAACTGCTACTGTTTTTGAAAAAATCTCGAATTGGACGTTGTGGCACGTATTAATCGAAGTTCGCACACGAAAACAAAGCTCAACTACTGAGTGCCATTTCTTTATCTTTATTTTTTGAAAAATTCTTATTGTAGCAGCGAAAGACGCTATTTTTTNTTTTTTCTAGATATGGTTAGAACGATTTATTCATTTTTTGACTGCTTTTAGAGTGACCGCTTTTCAGTAGGCTAATCTGACTATATATTTTCCAGCTGTTTATTATTACGCTGGTCGCTGACGGGACGAGGCCATATAGATAGCGAGGTTGCGAAATTAGGCAGCTTCTGACCAAAGCTTCGGTTCTGACGGTACTTCCTCGTCCGGTCTTCACTTCATCTAAGAGGACTCTTTAGAAATAGCTCGGAAGCGAAATGAAGCTGAAGCCAAGCAAGTACTAGGCGTTAGGCCTTGCCGTTGACGCACTGAAGTGCTCTCCGTATCTGCCCTAAACTATCCAGAAAACCGCACATTAGGATTTGCTGGTCTTTCACCTTTACTAGTGCAAAGTATGTAGCTTCAGCTACCACCTGCTAAAATCAAGAGGTTCGAAGTGCTAGCAGTTTCAATGGGAAGCGCATATTTTGTCACTACTTGGCATATTCTGAGACATTCGATAATGCTTAACCTGTTTCCAGCACCCTATTCCATAAAGATAAACATCGATCGACCCAGAGAGAGAAAGACCGTGGAATGCGTACCTACTTTATTCTTAATGCTGATGCTGATGTGTGATGCTAACATTACTGTTTTATTCAATAAAGACACCAGACATGGTAAAAGACATGGTAAAATCTTTGGACCGAATGATGGCGATGTGATCAAGCTACGAAAATCCGGAGTGAATCTATAGGTAGTTGTGGGCCAAATCTGAGAAGTGGGTCGGTTTAAAACTGAATTGTGAGAGCTAGGAGATCTGAAATCCGAAAACTCGGTTTATATATACATACAGTAGCGCTCAAAATCTTCGGTGAAATGCTTTGACCCTTTTTCGTTCATAACTTTTTTCGTAGTAGACCAAATCGCGCAAAATTTGGATATGTTTAACTAGAGCATATTTCACTTTACCCAACACTATTTGACTGCGAAGCTGCAATATCCACAGATAGAGCAAGGTGTTTGTTGCGGTAGCGGATTTTGCTAAAACTAAAGTTGTTGACGTCTGCAGTTACTCAAATTTTATGTGCGTTTTTCTAATCTACTATGTTCGGCATTAGCGCTCGTACACTTTGGACATGACGAAAAGGAAAGAATTCCTAGGAGGACCAATGTTTGTATTTCCAGTTGATTTTNGCTTTGACCCTTTTTCGTTCATAACTTTTTTCGTAGTAGACCAAATCGCGCAAAATTTGGATATGTTTAACTAGAGCATATTTCACTTTACCCAACACTATTTGACTGCGAAGCTGCAATATCCACAGATAGAGCAAGGTGTTTGTTGCGGTAGCGGATTTTGCTAAAACTAAAGTTGTTGACGTCTGCAGTTACTCAAATTTTATGTGCGTTTTTCTAATCTACTATGTTCGGCATTAGCGCTCGTACACTTTGGACATGACGAAAAGGAAAGAATTCCTAGGAGGACCAATGTTTGTATTTCCAGTTGATTTTGATTCAAGCTCTTTGGGATATCAGGAACATGACCAGATGGCAGGTTAATAGTGGTATATATTCACAATACACCCATGCTACACATATCGAAATTTTACGTGATTAGATCCAGTAGGAAAGAAGTTACTACTGAAAGGTACGGTTTCACCGAAGACTTTTGAGCGCTACTGTATATATATTTATTTATTTATGATGCTTTATGGGAGTGGTCTTATCCCTACCGCCATCCGCCCGCTGATTGTGAGTGTTCTTCGCCAGGAACTTGAGTATGACCGATTTTTTTAACTTCAAAGGCACATCCCACAGTAATTTTGAAGTAGTCTTTTTCGTCGAAAGCGGAAGCGTAGGGCGGGAATAGTTCATCGGTAAAGAAGAAAGCGAGAAAATTCTTCGATTTCGAGAAAAATAAGTATCGCAAAGGTAGGGATAATAGAGGTTGGACGAGATTACCATGACGAAAATAATATGGAAAGAGTATTCGGACGAGATTTCAGTTGCTGCAACTGCGCAAAGAACTGACCACAGAAAGCCAGAATACCTCCCATGGGTCATGACAAGTGCTTGTTCTCCCTATACTGGCCAAAAATTACACAAAGGTGAGGACAGGGTCAACAAGCCAAACGAAAGAAACCCACCTGCTGTGGGCGGAGTGTCCTCAAAATGGGCGGTATCTTTCAATTGGATTCATAACTCGATTCAACAAGGGCGTGGAGGCCAGAAAAAACCAAAGGAAGTGACAAAAACCTAGTACCTGCTGAGCATGCGTAACCTTGGCGAAACTCTATGGGCGGGGCGTGCATTCAAATAAAATCGCATTTTCAAACTAAATATAGTTTCGTTAAAATACATTCCGAAACGCGAAGAAAAGTGGTTGGAGCGTATAGAAGATATGTAGTCAAAACTCCAAAGTGAGCAGAGTTTGCGCTGAGGTGGGCGGGGCTGGAATCAAAAATTCATAACTCGGTTCAAAAACGTCTTACAACGCGGGGAAAAAGTGGTCGGAGGTCATAGAAGATATTTATGTATAAACCATAAATGTCCGTATGCCAGTCAGTCTGCCTGGCTCTTGATGTGTTTATCACCATCTTATATGGTGTCTACGCTTTTGTTGAAGAGAAACAGAACATCCATATTGAAACAAGTGGAGAATGTGTGGAGCTACTCAGGAACACATGAATTGACCAGGGAGGTGTTGGGTGCGATAAGAGTGGTTTCACCGGAAGTACTTAATCTCTGTTCCCGTGTACCTAAAGCGTTCATATTTGGCGCAAATGCAATCGGCAGGATGGAAACGTTGAGAACAGGTTTCAGTATTAGAGTTCGCCCACTAGGGGTGCCAACGGCAACAAGTCTGAATGGAAGTCGAAATCGTGGACGAATCTCAAAATGGGATTGATCAAGGCTGAAGGCTTTATCTTCCAATCATTGTTACTATTGTTGGAGGAAAATGATAGGAACATTTCAGCGTCATCAGTGGCCTGAACACTGCTAGAGTGATGGAGGAGTGAGAAGTAAAAGGAAAGGATCGGCTATCACTGTGTCTCGAGCATTTTCCATGTTGTCCCTCAAAGGATCACACCAATATGGTGACCCATTGGGTTCATCCTACTGAAACCCTTCCTGGAAGTGTGGGCACTGTATTCACAAAATGTCAGCTCAGTGGTAGCACTAGTATAACCATTATCGTTCCCTTCTCAGGCTTTAATCCGCTCACTATGCCATTACGGCATAAAAATGTTTGAAGGAAAAATGCTTGAAAATTCATAACTAATTCCGTAATATGAAAACATGGTTCTATTCATGTAGGGACCCAGGTTATAGCCCAAAAGGCTGCAAAAGCTCAAAGGAGCAAATGGGTATATGTATTTCAATACATGGGTTTCGAAACACACCCTACGAAAGGGACCGCAATCTGGGAAATAAAATTAAACTTGAAGAGGCCATCGCTGGTCCTGGCACGACCATGACTAGTCAGGCACTTGCTTTGGCCTTTGTGCAATATGAAGCCAATCTGGAGGAGGCAGTATAAAATGCAAAACCGGCACCGCCTCGAGGATCGGAACCAACAACCCAGCCTAGCCGTCCCAGCTCGTAGTCCACATCGCTATCCACCATACCGTCCGCCGCTCCCAGCAGCTCAATCGTGGACAGTTCCTGTGAAAATTCCCTGCACTTTTCAATAAGTTTCATCATGTGGCTCAACAACATCCATTATTCTCAATGCGCGGTCCACTGGCGCCTTCTACTATGCATACAGTCGGCGCCATGAATGAAACAAACGACGGGTACTGGGTTAAAGCGGCAATTCCCGACTAAATCATTTTCGCTCATTTTTTGGCATTCAGAAAAACATTTAGCGGAAATGAACCATATTTCTCTACTTAGTGCTCATGCCCCTACACCATGCAAAAGACCATTTTCTAAAAGCGTTCCACGCCCTGAAAGACCTTCCTTGTAAGAGGTGTGTGCGAAAATTGTCAAGTTGGACTCAAATCGTACAGCTGCTATAGGTGTACAGGTGGCAGTACGGGAATGTTGATGGCAGGTGACACGACTAAAGATTGGAGAAGAGGGGATTGGACAAGATTACCTAAACACAAATGGGTTGAGCAAGACGGGCAAGGCGCTCACGAAGTATGTGCGTACGGTTGGAAAATCGTAATTTCTCTAAGAGTGGGTTTCGTAAATTTTTTAGTATTTCATCATGTGCCCTATTGCAAAATTCCAGTGATTCACAATTAGGCTTTATATTGACCGGCTTGCAGCTTCGCGTTCGAAGCTGTGGTCAGGTAGTTGTCGAAGATCTGAGGAGTGAAAGCCTCCTCGCTTAAGTTCTCGTTATCCGTCCACCCGAGGTCGCGGTCGAATCGTTCTTCACGCGTTTAGTTGCACACAGCAAGCTTCGGTGCATTACATCTCAATCACTGCGTTCTGGACTGAGGACAAGGACTCGCTCGGGGAAATATCTGCCTAACAGAAGTAAGGCAACCTGTTGCCCCGCAGCATGCTTTCGTTCTTACCAGACTTTACCACCAGATGTCGGCTTGTATGGTCCGAAAGTTTTTGATACGTTTTTTCACTGCTCGATGGAATTTTGCGTTGCAGCTTCCATTGTATTACTTTCCAATAATATTTATGTAAAAAAAGATATATATATAACTGCAAGAATCTCAGGGCCATGACAGGATGCCTAGAAGGAGAAGGACTAGATAGCAATCTCTACTTCCATTGCAGGTGATGCAAGCCAGGAAGATCAAGTACGACGTTATCGAACTGACCGAGAGGAGAAGACACCGCCCGTTGCACGCCAGTTTTGAAACTGGTGAAAAACTGTTCCTTGGAACATGCGACAGCAGAGGCGTCGGTGGTGTAGTGTCTTCTTCAACAACCACTTGACCACGAACATCGACTCGTACGAAGGCTTGACAACCCAAATCGGACGTTCGCGATGCGAAGATGTGGCTGAACCCTAGCTCTAACAATCTTCGTTGCTTACGCCTCAACAGTGAGCCACGAAGAAGAGCTGGAAGCGTTCTATATGGATCTGGAGAGACTCTACAGAGAAGGCCATACTTCCTTCAAGGTCATCGTTGGTGATTTTAACGCCAAGAGTGGCCCCAGAAGAACGGCTGAAGAGCTCCACATCAAGACTCGAGGAATGGAATGGAATGAGAGGCTGTCCGAGTTTATCATGTCGACCTGCATCATCCATGGTAACTCGCAGTTTCAGAAGCCCTTTCATTCCCGATGGACATGGGAGTCACGTGGTGGGCAGTTCCATATGAGATAGATCACATCAACGTCAATCGAAAGTTTTGCCTGACTGGCGCCGCTGCTGTTCCGAAGTTCTACATGGGAGCAGATCATCGCCCTCTGCGCTACATTCCGCTTTCAGTGCGTGGAGAGAGGGCTGCAAAGTTCAGGATTCGAAGCCCCAACACTGTTGTCATTTTGGATCGCTTCGCTTCTTTGGCGAGTTTGTGGGAAGATCCCGTCAGTGACAACGACAACATCGATGAAGAATACGACCGACTCGTCGAGCATCTTCACGATAGCACCGGGAAAGCTGAGAGATTCGCACGA